TGTTAATGAGTTAATAAGAAAAGTATAACGGAGAAAATCTCACCTGGAATACTATGTACTATGCCGGACAAAAAAAATGGGACATGGCCATTGCGCATTATGACGTTTTGAAACGTCAAATCTGACATTAAAGTATGCTTTAGAGTGAAAGTGTGAAAAACAATTTTTGTTTGAAAAATACTAATCCTATATCAGTGGTGTTACATGACGGCTAAGCCGGCGATCGCCCGTCACAAACGAATGACAACTGACTATAAAAATGTGACGTTTGAATTTGATAATCAGTGTTGCCAACTATTGATTTTGAATTTATTTTCAGAACATTTGGGTCGAAAACTGGAAGAATACGTCCAAACCCTTCCAGTTCCAGTGATCGTTTTGCGCACCCACAAACGTTCGGGTTTGATCAGAGCGCGACTTTTAGGGGCGAAGCATGTCAAAGGTCAAGTGATCACTTTTTTGGATGCTCATTGCGAATGCACCGAAGGGTGGCTTGAGCCACTGCTTGCACGCATCGTTCAAGATAGAAAAACGGTCGTTTGTCCGATAATCGATGTCATTTCGGATGAAACCTTCGAATATATCACGGCCTCGGACATGACCTGGGGGGGCTTCAATTGGAAACTGAATTTTAGATGGTTGGGAATTTAGTTTTGTTAGATTTTGCAATTTTTTTGATTTCATTCAGGTATCGAGTGCCTCAGAGGGAGATGGAACGTCGCAACAATGACCGGACAGCCCCCCTCCGTACGCCGACCATGGCCGGGGGGCTCTTCTCCATCGACAAGGAGTATTTCTACGAATTGGGGTCGTACGACGAAGGTATGGACATCTGGGGTGGCGAAAATCTCGAAATGAGTTTCAGGGTAATTTTTTTAAATTTTCTTGGTTGTTTAGTGTGTTTTTTTTTTGTTTTTCATGCACACCCTGCGTCCGTTAAAGTGTCATAATACGTGTCATTTTCACGTTATTTTAAATGTGTTGCGCCGTAGGTTTGGCAATGTGGCGGCAAACTGGAGATAATCCCGTGTTCTCACGTTGGACATGTCTTCAGAGACAAGAGTCCTTACACGTTTCCTGGGGGCGTGTCGAAGATTGTTCTACATAACGCCGCCAGAGTGGCCGAAGTCTGGATGGACGAATGGCGAGACTTCTACTACGCCATGAATCCAGGTTTGATTTTAAGACAGCTGGAAACTGCCATCTAGGGGCAAAAATTTGGGGATTTTGCAAGAAAAAAAAACAATTGATTATGATAGGGGAATTATTGGATTCCTCTATTATTTTCACGTGTTTTTTGTGCGGTTTTGATGTTGGAATTGCTTTCATATTTTGATTGTAGACTAACTCGATTAATTCTTACAGGAATGCCTTTTTCTTAAAGCGTGTGATTTGCACAGGTTTAACTCGACTACTCATTACAGACAAGTCATTACGATCGATCAGTGTAGGGACTTTTCGATTTAAATTTAGTGGAGGAAAATTGTGTTTTCATGCATAATTTTGACTCGATTTAACTACACAGTGATCAGTTTTTTTTTTAAATTAAAAGCAAAAATAATTTTTTGTACCATATTGGACGAAAAAATGATTGTGTTGACATTAAGTGTAAAAGAGTCTTTAGATAGTAACCTCACTTTCATTGATGTTCCGTCATTTTGAAGTTTTGAAATGTCAAATTTGACGTTAAAGCCTGCTTTACATTAAACTTTCAGAAATAAAAACATTTTTTATTTGACAAATACTAGTCAAATTTTTTTAATGAATTAATAAGAAAGATACATAATTATAATGGAGAATCTCAGCTGGAATAATCTGTACCATGTTGGCAAAAAAAAAATGGAACAGGTAGTTCATTGCGTTCAAGCTAAATATGAAACGGCCCTTAGATAGTAACCTCACTTTACTTAATGTCATTGTTGTTCCTGTCATTTTGACGTTTTGAAATGTCAAATTTGACGTTAAAGCTTATTTTACGGTGAATTTTCAGAAAAGAAAACAATTTTTATTTGAAAAATACTCGGAAAAATACTTGTTATAATTTTTTTCATGAATTAATAACAAAGATACAATGGAGAAAGTCTTAGCTGGAATACCTTGTCCCATGTTGGGCAAAAAAATGTGTCACTCTGTTGGCATTAAATGTAAAACAGCCTTTAGATAGTAACCTCACTTCCAACTTAATGTCATTGATGTTTCTGTCATTTTGTCGTTTTGAAATGTCAAATTTGACGTTAAAGCCTCCTTTACAGTGAATTTTCGTAAAAAAAAAACAATTTTTATTTGAAAAAAAATATCACATTTTTTTAAATGAATTAATAAGAAAGATAAAATGGGGAAAATCTCGCCTGGAATATCCTATACCATGCTAGCCAAAAAAAGGGGACAGCAAGGCCATTGCGTTGAAATTTAATGTGAAACAGCCCTTAGATAGTAACCTCATTTTCAGTTTAATGTCATTGACATTCCTCTATTTT